AGGAAGACACCTATTACCACCAAAAAGTCATTCAACCCATAAATCCAAAAAAATAAAAAAGTTTCCAAAAAAATTCAATTTTTCTTAGGCGGACTATTTTATTGCAATTTCTTGCACAAAATACACCTAAAAGTGTAGAAAAAAATCGACAGCCAAATCCGAGTAGAGGAAGACACCTATTACCACCAAAAAGTCATCCAACCCATAAATCCAAAAAAATAAAAAAGTTCCCAAAAAAATTCAATTTTTCTTAGGCGGACTATTTTATTGCAATTTCTTGCACAAAATACACCTAAAAGTGTAGAAAAAAATCGACAGCCAAATCCGAGTAGAGGAAGACACCTATTACCACCAAAAAGTCATCCAACCCATAAATCCAAATAAATAAAAAAGTTTCCAAAAAAATTCAATTTTTCTTAGGCGGACTATATTATTGCAATTTCTTGCACAAAATACACCTAAAAGTGTAGAAAAAAATCGACAGCCAAATCCGAGTAGAGGAAGACACCTATTACCACCAAAAAGTCATCCAACCCATAAATCCAAATAAATAAAAAAGTTTCCAAAAAAATTCAATTTTTCTTAGGCGGACTATATTATTGCAATTTCTTGCACAAAATACACCTAAAAGTGTAGAAAAAAATCGACAGCCAAATCCGAGTAGAGGAAGACACCTATTACCACCAAAAAGTCATCCAACCCATAAATCCAAAAAAATAAAAAAGTTCCCAAAAAAATTCAATTTTTCTTAGGCGGACTATATTATTGCAATTTCTTGCACAAAATACACCTAAAAGTGTAGAAAAAAATCGACAGCCAAATCCGAGTAGAGGAAGACACCTATTACCACCAAAAAGTCATCCAATCCATAAATCCAAAAAAATAAAAAAGTTTCCAAAAAAATTCAATTTTTCTTAGGCGGACTATATTATTGCAATTTCTTGCACAAAATATACCTAAAAGTGTAGAAAAAAATCGACATCCAAATCCGAGTAGAGGAAGACACCTATTACCACCAAAAAGTCATCCAACCCATAAATCCAAAAAAATAAAAAAGTTCCCAAAAAAATTCAATTTTTCTTAGGCGGACTATTTTATTGCAATTTCTTGCACAAAATACACCTAAAAGTGTAGAAAAAAATCGACAGCCAAATCCGAGTAGAGGAAGACACCTATTACCACCAAAAAGTCATCCAACCCATAAATCCAAAAAAATAAAAAAGTTCCCAAAAAAATTCAATTTTTTTTAGGCGGACTATTTTATTGCAATTTCTTGCACAAAATACACCTAAAAGTTTAGAAAAAAATCGACAGCCAAATCCGAGTAGAGGAAGACACCTATTACCACCAAAAAGTCATCCAACCCATAAATCCAAAAAAATAAAAAAGTTCCCAAAAAAATTCAATTTTTCTTAGGCGGACTATTTTATTGCAATTTCTTGCACAAAATACACCTAAAAGTGTAGAAAAAAATCGACAGCCAAATCCGAGTAGAGGAAGACACCTATTACCACCAAAAAGTCATCCAACCCATAAATCCAAATAAATAAAAAAGTTTCCAAAAAAATTCAATTTTTCTTAGGCGGACTATATTATTGCAATTTCTTGCACAAAATACACCTAAAAGTGTAGAAAAAAATCGACAGCCAAATCCGAGTAGAGGAAGACACCTATTACCACCAAAAAGTCATCCAACCCATAAATCCAAATAAATAAAAAAGTTTCCAAAAAAATTCAATTTTTCTTAGGCGGACTATATTATTGCAATTTCTTGCACAAAATACACCTAAAAGTGTAGAAAAAAATCGACAGCCAAATCCGAGTAGAGGAAGACACCTATTACCACCAAAAAGTCATCCAACCCATAAATCCAAAAAAATAAAAAAGTTCCCAAAAAAATTCAATTTTTTTTAGGCGGACTATTTTATTGCAATTTCTTGCACAAAATACACCTAAAAGTGTAGAAAAAAATCGACAGCCAAATCCGAGTAGAGGAAGACACCTATTACCACCAAAAAGTCATCCAATCCATAAATCCAAAAAAATAAAAAAGTTTCCAAAAAAATTCAATTTTTCTTAGGCGGACTATATTATTGCAATTTCTTGCACAAAATATACCTAAAAGTGTAGAAAAAAATCGACATCCAAATCCGAGTAGAGGAAGACACCTATTACCACCAAAAAGTCATCCAACCCATAAATCCAAAAAAATAAAAAAGTTCCCAAAAAAATTCAATTTTTCTTAGGCGGACTATTTTATTGCAATTTCTTGCACAAAATACACCTAAAAGTGTAGAAAAAAATCGACAGCCAAATCCGAGTAGAGGAAGACACCTATTACCACCAAAAAGTCATCCAACCCATAAATCCAAAAAAATAAAAAAGTTCCCAAAAAAATTCAATTTTTTTTAGGCGGACTATTTTATTGCAATTTCTTGCACAAAATACACCTAAAAGTTTAGAAAAAAATCGACAGCCAAATCCGAGTAGAGGAAGACACCTATTACCACCAAAAAGTCATCCAACCCATAAATCCAAAAAAATAAAAAAGTTCCCAAAAAAATTCAATTTTTCTTAGGCGGACTATTTTATTGCAATTTCTTGCACAAAATACACCTAAAAGTGTAGAAAAAAATCGACAGCCAAATCCGAGTAGAGGAAGACACCTATTACCACCAAAAAGTCATCCAACCCATAAATCCAAAAAAATAAAAAAGTTCCCAAAAAAATTCAATTTTTCTTAGGCGGACTATTTTATTGCAATTTCTTGCACAAAATACACCTAAAAGTGTAGAAAAAAATCGACAGCCAAATCCGAGTAGAGGAAGACACCTATTACCACCAAAAAGTCATTCAACCCATAAATCCAAAAAAATAAAAAAGTTCCCAAAAAAATTCAATTTTTTTTAGGCGGACTATTTTATTGCAATTTCTTGCACAAAATACACCTAAAAGTGTAGAAAAAAATCGACAGCCAAATCCGAGTAGAGGAAGACACCTATTACCACCAAAAAGTCATCCAATCCATAAATCCAAAAAAATAAAAAAGTTTCCAAAAAAATTCAATTTTTCTTAGGCGGACTATATTATTGCAATTTCTTGCACAAAATACACCTAAAAGTGTAGAAAAAAATCGACAGCCAAATCCGAGTAGAGGAAGACACCTATTACCACCAAAAAGTCATCCAACCCATAAATCCAAAAAAATAAAAAAGTTCCCAAAAAAATTCAATTTTTCTTAGGCGGACTATTTTATTGCAATTTCTTGCACAAAATACACCTAAAAGTGTAGAAAAAAATCGACAGCCAAATCCGAGTAGAGGAAGACACCTATTACCACCAAAAAGTCATCCAACCCATAAATCCAAAAAAATAAAAAAGTTCCCAAAAAAATTCAATTTTTTTTAGGCGGACTATTTTATTGCAATTTCTTGCACAAAATACACCTAAAAGTGTAGAAAAAAATCGACAGCCAAATCCGAGTAGAGGAAGACACCTATTACCACCAAAAAGTCATCCAATCCATAAATCCAAAAAAATAAAAAAGTTTCCAAAAAAATTCAATTTTTCTTAGGCGGACTATATTATTGCAATTTCTTGCACAAAATACACCTAAAAGTGTAGAAAAAAATCGACATCCAAATCCGAGTAGAGGAAGACACCTATTACCACCAAAAAGTCATCCAACCCATAAATCCAAAAAAATAAAAAAGTTCCCAAAAAAATTCAATTTTTCTTAGGCGGACTATTTTATTGCAATTTCTTGCACAAAATACACCTAAAAGTGTAGAAAAAAATCGACAGCCAAATCCGAGTAGAGGAAGACACCTATTACCACCAAAAAGTCATCCAACCCATAAATCCAAAAAAATAAAAAAGTTCCCAAAAAAATTCAATTTTTTTTAGGCGGACTATTTTATTGCAATTTCTTGCACAAAATACACCTAAAAGTTTAGAAAAAAATCGACAGCCAAATCCGAGTAGAGGAAGACACCTATTACCACCAAAAAGTCATCCAACCCATAAATCCAAAAAAATAAAAAAGTTCCCAAAAAAATTCAATTTTTCTTAGGCGGACTATTTTATTGCAATTTCTTGCACAAAATACACCTAAAAGTGTAGAAAAAAATCGACAGCCAAATCCGAGTAGAGGAAGACACCTATTACCACCAAAAAGTCATCCAACCCATAAATCCAAAAAAATAAAAAAGTTCCCAAAAAAATTCAATTTTTCTTAGGCGGACTATTTTATTGCAATTTCTTGCACAAAATACACCTAAAAATGTAGAAAAAAATCGACAGCCAAATCCGAGTAGAGGAAGAACCATATTAGCACCTATAAGGCAACCATAGCCATAAAAAATCAGGAAAAGAAGCTATGGAAACGGTCGAACGGATGGACAGACGATTGCGATTTTATCTGTTTCCATGGGAATGATACGAGAGTACGATGGACGGACGCCAAAGTGAAATTATAAGACTTTCGTCCCTGGGCCACGAAACCCTAAAAATGAGCCGTTTTTTACTATAGGGATTAAAATTACCTATTTATTATTTTAGGGATTGTTTTTGAGAGGAAAATAAGTACTTTTAACACTAGGGAGTAAAACGGGTACTTTTAACCCTAGAAGGAAAAATATCCATTTCTTATCCTAGGGCATAAAATGAGCCATTTTTTTTAATTTAGAAATAAAAATTACCCATTTCTTATCCTAGGGATCGTTTTCGGGAGTAAAGCAAGCACTTTTAACTCTAGGGAATAAAATGATTCATTTCTAACCCTAGGGAGTAAAATGAGCAATCGTTTAATCCAGGTATTAGAACACCTCATTTCTTATTGTAAGGATTAAAATAATTTTTAACTCTAGGGTGTAGATTATCACTTTTTAAACCCAAGGGATTAAAAATGTATTACATATTTAGATCATTTTTATAATTGTTTCAAGAAATTGTTTGGAGTCTAAAATAAAATAATAGAAAACAAGTAAAAAAAAACTCACCGAGCTTGATGTGGACCAACATTTCCACTTTCGAAACTGGAGCTTGCAGTGATATCGGCATCTGGTATTGCTCCTGACTCCATGCCCAATGGTGCAATGCATTGTGCTGAAAACATAGAGTAACGCCTGTTACACAATATCGAGTGGGAATCATTGCAGTTTCAAAAGCCTACAGGGGGTGGTGGTGGTTATAAAGCGTTTCAGATTTATGCGTATATGCACATCAAAAGGGAGAATCATAAACGGTTAAATAACCAACTGACCGAGATGAATCTCTTCAACTGCAATATATATATATATATATATATATGTAAAATACGTTCATATGAGTATAGTGTAAGAACGAGGGGAAGACGGAAATCAAAAGTGGGAGATTCAGGCCAAGAGGAATATATTCCATATCTCAAGAGCTAATCAATTGTTTCATATATATGAACGCTTTTCCGATGAAATAATATTCAAATTCACCCTTTTATACAGTGAATCCATTATATTTACTATACACTCGCTCAATGCCAGTCAATGATGGGGTTAAAAGCCATCTCTTGGCTTATATTGTATATATGATGCATCATTTCTACTTTAAGTTTGCCTTGGATTTTGTATTAATTTTTTTCTCCTCGCTTTTTTTGACTAAAGAAAAAATACATTTGTGAGCCAAATAAATATTTACTTGTTATAAATAATTATCTATTTGTTGGAAATATACTAAATAAATTTTTTTTTAACAATTTCTTTAGTGAAAAAAATGCCATGTCATTTTATGCTGCAAGAAGTTAAAAATTGCTAAAGCGGCAAAAAATACAGGTTTGTTTTTACGTTTTGGTATAAAAAAGTATGATGTTATGACTTGACACTTTATATATATTGTTTATTATTATTATATACATCTAAAGGAATTTTAAACGGTCATAATATATACCTTGTTGAAAAAAAAAACACTTGAAAACCCATCATTGATGTATTCTATACACTTTATTGCCCCTTTCTAACAAACATTTATCGTGAGTTTAAAAAAAAAAAAAAAAAAAAAAAACAACAAAGTGCGCTAAAAAATGAACAGCTCACACCTTGTTGTTGTTTGAAGGTAAAATCACCTACTATGCGATGTTGGCAATGGCTATTTATGTTCGATTTATGAGCTTGATAAGGCACGTTTGGTCAGCCATAGCTCGTTACTGGACTCTTCTCGACAAAAGGAAACATGTATACACCGACCGAATAGTCTGAGTTTATGTATTAGTGTGTGTGAGTAAGAGAGAGAGAGAGAGAGAAGGGTTCAAGAGAAAATTACGAGAGCCCACGAACTCCAGGGAGCGATATACGTCGAGGTTTCCGGCACCTTCGTTAATAATAATAACTGTATTTGCGCTATACACATAGATATTTGCCCTGTCTACAGGGTTTCCTTCAACAAGAGCAATTATTCACGTGCATTTTGAATATAACCTCAAAAAAAAAACCTTTGCGACTGACTTAAACAGAAATAGATTTTTTTTTTTTGAAGAAAATATAAAATTAATTTTCCCTTATCATGCGCTGTGGGTTTTTTTTTATTTTCAATTGTTTCTTCTTAAATCTACATTTTTAATGAAAGTTGAATAATAAAATAATTTATTTTCCTTATTATACTTACAGAGATCAACGCCACGTGTTGTTGATATTGTAGAGAGAATGAAGATAAGGACGATTAAGTGAACGTTAGGTGGCTCCCTCTCGAGGTGACGTCCGAAACCTTTCACCATAGCTTTATAACTGAGGGGGATTTCCCTCCGTTTCAGTCTCACCTTGTTCTCATCATTATTATGCCTTTTTGACCTAATAACATGAAAAAAAAACAAATTTCTTGTTATTCAACTTTACATAAATATTTACATATTCAGGATATATAATGGATATTAACATAATCCGTGATCTACTTTCGCGGAATCCGCCATCTAGTATCACAGAATCCGTGATCCAATTTCGCGAAAACCGCGACCTAGTTTCGACGAATCCGTAATCTAATTATGCGGAATCCGTGATTTTTTTTTTGAAAATTCAGACAGCTAGTTTGGCGGAATCCGTGATTTAATTTCGCAGAATCCGCGATCTAGTTTCTCCAAATTTGTGATCTAATTTTGCGAATTTAACGAAATAGTTTGGAAGAATCCGTGATCCAATTAGGCGTAATCCGTAATCTGGTTTGGTTGAATCCGTAATCTATTTTAGTGGAATCCGTGATCTAATTACGCGGAATTCGTGATCTTATTTTGCGAATTCAGCGAGCTAGTTTGGTTGAATCCGTGATCTAATTACGTGGAATTCGTGATCTTATTTTGCGAATTCAGCGAGCTAGTTTGGTTGAATCCGTGACCCAATTACGCGTAATTAGTACCCTACATTCGCGTAATCCATGATCTAGTTTTGTGGAATCCGTGATATAATTACGCATAATCTATAAACCAGTTTTGCGGAATTCGTGATGCAATTACGCGTAATTTATGGTCTAATTACGCGTAATTCGAGATCACGTTTCGCAGAATCCGTATTCTAATTACGCAGAATCCGTGATTTAATTTCGCAGAATCCACGACCTAGTTTTTCCAAATTTGTGATATAATTTTGCGAATTTAACGAAATAGTTTCGAAGAATCCGTGACCCAATTACGCGTAATCCGTAATCTAGTTTAGTGGAATCCGTAATCTAGTTTAGTGGAATCCGTGATCTAATTACGCGGAATTCGTAAGATTATTTTGCGAATTCAGCGAACTAGTTTGGTGGTATCCGCGATCTAGTTTCGCCGAATCTGTGATATTATTTTGCGAATTCAGCGAGCTAGTTTGATTGAATCCGTGACCCAATTACGCGTAATTAGTACCCTACATTCACGTAATCCATGATCTAGTTATGTGGAATCCGTGATATAATTACGCATAATCTATAAACCAGTTTTGCGGAATTCGTGATGCAATTACGCATAATTCATGGTCTAATTACGCGTAATCCGAGATCACGGTTCGCGGAATCGCTATTCTAATTACGCAGAATCCGTGATCTAATTTCGAAGAATCAGCGGCCTAGTTTCTCCAAATTTGTGATCTAATTTTGCGAATTTAACGAAATAGTTTGGAAGAATCCGTGATCCAATTACGCGTAATCCGTAATCTAGTTTAGTGGAATGCGTGATCTAATTACGCGGAATTCGTGATATTATTTTGCGAATTCAGCGAGCTAGTTTGGTGGTATCCGCGATCTAGTTTCGCCAAATCTGTGATACAATTTTGCGAATTCAGCGAGCTAGTTTGGTTGAATCCGTAATCTAGTTTAGTGGAATCCGTGATCTAATTACGCAGAATTCGTGATATGATTTTGCGAATTCAGCGAGCTAGTTTTGTGGTATCCGCGATCTAGTTTCGCCGAATCTGTGATTTTATTTTGCGAATTCAGCGAGCTAGTTTGGTTGAATCCGTGACCCAATTACGCGTAATTAGTACCCTACATTCGCGTAATCCATGATCTAGTTTTGTGGAATCCGTGATATAATTACGCATAATCTATCAACCAGTTTTGCGGAATTCGTGATGCAATTACGCATAATTCATGGTCTAATTACGCGTAATCCGAGATCACGTTTCGCGGAATCCATATTCTAATTACGCAGAATCCGTGATCTAATTTCGCAGAATCCGCGACCTAGTTTAATCAGTGATATAATTTCGTGTAATTCTTGTTCTAATTTCGCGTAATACATGATCTAATTCCGTGACCTGGTTTCGCGGAATCCGTGATTTAATTGCGGCGAAATAATCTTGCGTTTTAAGTAAATTTAAGTTACATAGTCTGAAAAATCAGCTTTAGCTCTTGCAAGTTTTTAGCACCTATAAAATTGGAAACTCTTAACATTAGATTAGTTTTGATTTTAGTTTAGAAATAAAGTTTAAATTATTTTCCAATTGGATTTGACTTAAACTTCATCTTTTTAAAACTAAAAATTAAAAAATTGAACCTATCAAAGTAATATAAAAAATAAATGATTTCTAATAAGTATAATTTACAAACCACTTATCTTCAACAGCGAATATTTAAATTGTAACATGAAAGTTCTATTCCCAAGCAACTCGTGCATAAGAATGACCACGTATTCGATAGTTTTGCATTCACGTGAGTGCACGTGCCATAGGGTAATTCCTATATAGTTATTCAGAACGCTATATACTCTCAAGTTCTCAAAGCGTATATATCTGAAATCGATTTCCAGATTGACACCTAATTCAATAGCTATAATATATATATATATATATATATATATATATATATATATATATAGAAGGTCAACGAATCTCGAAAACCGGAAGACGACTCTACATACTGAATATATGAAGCGAATCCCTATTGACCACGTCAGTAGCAGGTGTGAAGGGTAAAAAAATTTTTTTTTAACATTTAAACTGTAAGAGAGAGAGAGAGATAGAAACTGTTTCTATCTTGTACACAATAGCAATTTTCAATTACAATTTAAATTAATAATGAATTTTCTGGTGTAAAAAATATCATCTATCACTGCCATAGGTCATAGGCCTTATATTAAACATGTATAAGTTTCAAACCCTCCTTCAAGTGGCTAGAGAAATACTCTATATATCTACTGATTGTCAGGTGAATACTTCTTTGATAAGTAGTTGAGCAAATAATAGAGGGACCATAAGAAAATGAGATAGAATTAGAGAAAAAAAAAAGTCAAGAAAAACATACGAGTAATAATAACAATTGAAGAAAAAAGTCGAATGTTAATAATAAAAATACAAATGTGGGAAGAGAAAAATAAATAAAAGTAAAATTAAACTATAATAAATAAATATATCGAGAAAATAGAAAAAAACAAAAATATTGAGATCAATAAAAATAATAATAATATTTTAATTATGAAATTGGGTTTTCAAATCAATATTAAATATATAGAGAATAATTATATGATTTTATAATTAATTTCCAATATTTTGCTCTGTTAAACTTTATACTAAATTAAATAGCAAATATTATTATAAAATAAGAGAATAAAAAAGGAATTTTTATTGACTAATTCCGAAACTGTTAAATTCTGTATCAAAATTATTGTCCCTTTTCACCCTAAAAAGGGATGAGTTAAGAATATTATCCTGTCGAAGACATCGCGAAGGAGGATCCATTTATTGGCGCATCGCGATATACATAAATAGGCTACATTTCCACCTAAGCCGCGAACTAAGCTATAGGCTTCATGGTGCCTAGTTTAATGTCGAATCTCTTCATTTGCATAGGAATGAGTTTATGCAGATTAATACACGCGAAATATACCTCTCCAAGAATCTCTCTCTCTCTCTCTCTCTCTCTCTCTCTCTCTCTTTGTATAATATATATAGATATTCATAGAGAAATACATATGTATTTTCGAACAACTCACATTTACAAATATAAATTTCAACATCGAGAGAATGAGAGAGAGAGAGAGAGAGAGAGAGAGAGAGAGAGAGAGAGAGAGAGAGAGAGAGAGAGAGAGAGAGAGAATGAGAGAGAGAAATTTGATGGATTCAAATAGCTATGTTTTATTGATCGATCTTCCATTTTAGAATTTCAATTTATTACTTTCTCTCGTGATGAAGTACATGTTATATTCTCGAATTTTAATTCAGAGAGATGTTTTTTTTTCAAACCATTGATTTAGGAGATTTTTTTTTATATTGATTAGATTTTAATTGGCATTTAATTTTTTTTACTATATAAATCTATTTTTGGTTAATGCTGTAACGAATATTTTTTTTTAACGAATAAATTCAAAAATATATTCACTATTCGAAAATAGAATAATGAATTCAACGAATATACCGTGTATTATAGGAAGTCATAAAAATTATTTTGTTTGCGTACTTGTTTAGGCGAAGATTCTCTCTTATGCTCGGCATAAAAGCCGGCCTATTACCCTTTCAGCAATAAATCTTCGAAAATTGTCGGGAGAACGTTTTTCCCCTTTACCCAAAGAGAGTCAATTAACGGTCGATCACTGGCCTCACTTTAATTACCTGCAAACTTTCTTCTCAGAAAATATAAAAAAAAAAACCTTGTTTGCTTTTTCGTATATAATGGCTTTTAGAATAGTTATTTGTGTTTGAAAAAAAAAAATAAAATTCTCGTTGAGAAATAATAACTACAAAAAAAAAATTGAATAGAATTGGTTTTTTTTTTGCAACTGAAATTAGTTAGAGATTTGTTTTTTGTTTTTTGTTTTTAGATTATATATTATTTATATTACATATTATGCAGTACAGTCGCGGAAGTGAATAATAACATACACACACGCTTCTCTGTTTCAGGAAAACCAGTTTATTTTCGCACCAATACGTTATACTGTGCGCCAACCTACACACATTGTGAGAGGCCAGGTCCTCGATGTTTTACAGAAAATTAACTGACATTAACATTCCACTGAAGTTACGCTATCACAAGAGGTTTTGCTTCCCCTTTATACTTGTACCATTAAACATTCTATATATCTTTCATCTTTTTTTTTCAGTTTATTATTAGTGCCCTTTTTTTCTCTTTTTCATTTGTATTAAGTTTTTCACTTAAAAACTATTCTCATACAGGAAATTAAATGTTGAAAAAAATTCATTTTTTCATAATAATAATTAAATAATTTTTTTTTTGAAATTTAATTTTGTTATTTAAAAAAAAAAAGAACATTGACATGAAATATTTTTCGTGAGATATAGAGAAAATATTAAGAAAATATATTTTTGGGGATTTTGTCAGAAAAATAACTTTTTGACAAGAATGCGAATATACAGAGGGATATATGAGA